AGTACAGTGTTATGTGCATTTATATATATAAAAGTATGCACAAATGCTTTTTTGTTAAGGAAACCAAGTGGAACGACTTAAGAAATTTTAACAACAAATAACTTATAAACAATGATATTATTTATATTTTTTAGTTATACATGTTTTAGAGGATACCTCTCTTAACATCCTGACCAAGTTTCATTTGTTAATTCCACCTGGTTTTCTTAAAACACAAGGTGCGGCTGACTACTAAAGCCCACCCCCGAAGTTGCCATTGGTATAATTTAGGTTAGTATTAAATATTGGCGAAATCTGTCAATAACCACGCCCACCTCCCATGTAGTAGTTAACAATACTTTTGTTTTATTATTATTGTTTTTATGAATTTTGCTGTTTAAATTAACATTTCGAATATATCAACAAACATTTGTGGGTACTTTTGCACCAGCCGTTGCCTATGGGTTAATGACAAAAAAATCCTACACATACACAATATTTCATGAATTAATTTTCAAATAAGCATATTGTCAATGGATGGTTTACTGTATACTGTGCAAAAGTAGATGCCGTCAGCGTTGCCGTTTTGCTTAAATTTAAGCAAAATTGCTTATGTTTTTCCTGCGTGTTACAAGTTTAACTTTTCTTCGTTTTGCTAAATATTTTTATCTAAATAGTCAAAATTGGGTTTTCGGTATTTTATGGCCTTATAACAACTATATTCAATAGGTTTGTTGGGTACTGTTTAGTAAGTGGCCCACCTATTTCGGGGTATTGCGTCCAAAGAGGTGACCCGATCCAAAAAAAAATTGCACACACTTGTAGGGTCTACCCATTATTTTGACATCCACTATTGTAATTATGGTCACTAATTTATTTACAAATTGGGTTTGAAATATGCCCTATTTTGTAAAATTCGGAAATTAGCGTTTATCACTCCTATTTTCCTTAAAGCAGCCACTTCACCAATGCATTTTTATATTCCCCTTCACTTTAAACTTTATTCGACTTGTTTCAACTTTCTTTATTACTTTAATTTTAACCTATCAATCACAATTTATTAAATAAAAACACCTTCAAAACCACGCGTCTGCCTTTGGTTGCATATGCAAATTAAATGGCGGCGTTTAGCTGTCAAACTGCTAAATATGAAAGAAGGATGAGAGACAAAAGAAAATATGATATAACCCAGTCAGCATCAAAAAGGCAGAAAGGTGTTCTCTGCAAAAGGTGTTCAGCCCCCTTTCTTTGGCAACACAGAAGAGAATTCTACGTAGGGAGGGTTATAATCCCTAAGTAAAGTGGCGACTGTCCCCTTTCGAATGAGGGGGGTTTGGGGGGCCACGCCCCCTCCGCCCCCACCCCAAAAACGATGGGCCAATAACTAAACATTTCCCGTTTTATTGAGCTCGAAGCCATTTTTTCAAAAAATAAAAATTATTGTTGCTTGTCCACAATAGTTTTTCATTTAAGTTCGTGCTTTATCTATGCTTTGAGGCAGTGACTCTATTGTTGGCAATTATTCCTAGCTATTTTAATTTCCAGCATACGATTATAAAATTGAATACAATTTAATAAAAAAAAATCGTTCTCAGTATGNTTTATTGAGCTCGAAGCCATTTTTTCAAAAAATAAAAATTATTGTTGCTTGTCCACAATAGTTTTTCATTTAAGTTCGTGCTTTATCTATGCTTTGAGGCAGTGACTCTATTGTTGGCAATTATTCCTAGCTATTTTAATTTCCAGCATACGATTATAAAATTGAATACAATTTAATAAAAAAAAATCGTTCTCAGTATTCCGTGTTCTTGTGGTCAAAAAGTTGATCGTAACAATAAGCTGAAAGTAGTGTGTGCTAAATGCAACGACTTCTTTCATCTAAAATGTGTAAATATGTCAATTGACGATCTCGATCTTCTGCTTACAACAAATAAACATTTCTTTTGTGAAATGTGTTCGGTTAAGCGTCGTACATCTCTTTGTTCTCCGCCTCCGTTCGCTTTTCCTAATGCCGAAAAAACAATTGAGCATGGTGACAATTCGAGTGAGATCATAAATGATCAAGAAGTAACTTTGTTTGATATCGCTAAAGACATTGCTGCTATGCGTTCGAACAATGCTTACTTACTCTCTGTGATGAATGCTTTGAGTTTCGATAAAGCTCAATTATTGCAAAAATATGAGATTATATTTGCTGAAATTCGTTCTATTCACTCAAAGATCGATGATAAAAATGCAGTAATTTCTTCTTTAACGTTGGAAATAAAAAATCTGCATAGTGTTTGTCGTTTCCCAACACTGAACTACCTTATTTCGTCTTGTCCTTCCATCCTGCGAATTCGCCGCAACAAAGTATGAGAGGGCAAAACGAAATTGGCAATTACAGCACTAGAATCCAGTTGATTCCAAACGATTTCATTGCAAAATCAGAGCGCGAACGAGTAGCAAGGGCAGCGATTTGAAACACTTCCCCATCGCCATCAATCAACATTGTCAACGATCAACGCACATACCAATTGTTCATCGTCATCTGTATTTGATTTGCTTTACATATACCTAATTTGTTCAAGTTTTTAAATCATTAAAAGTACAAAGTATATCATTTTAACATATTAATCGAAGTCTTTTACTTGCCGCCGCCACATAATCGTTTTCAAATCGCCCTTGCTACCGTTTATACAAGCAAATTTGTCGTCATCGTCCATTTGCATTGGAGTTTTTGCTGTTTTCGTCGCCGTGTTAACCTGTGAGTTGTCACCGTTTTAACCTGTAAATTGTCGCCGTTTTAAGCTTTGGCTGTTTTTGTCGCCGTTTCAACTTGTAAGTTGTAATCGTTCATTTGCATTGGAAGTTTGCCGTTTTCGTCGCCGTTTCAAACGGTAAATTGTATACAAATAGCTATCGCTGCTTATTTTATTTGCAAAATTTTTTGTCATCGCCCGTTATCGTTGGAAAATTGCCGTTTTTCGTCGTCGTTTTTAACAGTCACCTGTACATTGTCGTTTACCGTTTTAACAAATCTAATAAATCCGCTTAAAACAAAGATAATTTGACCGCTATAAATTTTTTTTAATCAATTCAATTAGGACAATTGGTGCCTGCAAGCCAACGTATTAAAAGAATAATAATTTGGCCGCAACTATTCTTGTGTACGTGCAAGTCTTTTTGGGCAATTGGGTGCCTGCTAGTCAACGTGGAAAAAGCTCGTATTAAAGGAATTATAATTTGCCCTAACTATTCGTCTATACGTACCAGACGTTTGGCATTTGGGTACCACCAAATATCATCGAAATCAAGCCATTGTGTCCAGTCATCATTGTAAGTCATCGTCTCGAATAAACATCAACGCTCTAAGTCGTCATCAAAAATCACCAGGAATTTGCAAGGCAGTGTTTTTTAAGACCTTACTAAAAGTCGTCGTTTCATGTGGTGGGGTTTTGATAAACTTTTAATTTAATTGACTTGTTATTGGGTAACATTGCACTATTAGTCGTTGTTTAAATTCGCGCCGCGATGCCCAGAGGCATATCAACTAGATCGCAGACTGTTGCAGATGCAGAGGGAAGCAACTCCGAATCGGATGATGCCAGTCAAATTGGCGCTCCGGTACGTCATGCAGCGCAACCACCAACCAACATGGGAGCTGACGCGTTGGCTACTTTGGTTGCAAGCGTCACCGCATTAAGGGAGTGTGTTCAAGAGTTACGAAATGAGACGAGTCGTAGCCACGCTGAGAAACAACAGTTGCGTGAACGTATCGAATTGGATTCGGCTCAGTTCGCTGATGCACCAAATCCAGTTGCGCCGCCTTCAGTTCCACAATCGTCACAGAACATGCCGCAGTTAACGCTGCCTGCAGTACAGCCACTAACATCGACGTCGGCAAATGCAGCCTTAACTCTTTTTGATAGTTCCGCTAAGCTCTACCCGTTACCAACCTTCGACGGCAATGCCGAAGATTGGCCATTGTTTTCTGCGAATTACGTAGACACTACAGCGGAATTTGGGTACAATAATAGGCAGAACCTCATGCGACTGCAAAGAGCGCTACAAGGCAATGCAAAGCGCGCCGTCACATCAATGCTTATTTATCCGGATGATGTACCAAAAATAATAAAGGAGCTAGAATTTAATTTCGGTCGCCCCGATTTATTAATACGCGCACAGCTACAAAAAGTTCAGACGTTTCCAGCAATCAGTGACAACCGCCTCGATCAAGTTCTCGAATTCTCAAATCGTGTTCGCAATATATCGGCGTTTTTCAAATCTGCGAAGTGCGANGTTTAATTTCGGTCGCCCTGATTTATTAATACGCGCACAGCTACAAAAGGTTCAGACATTTCCAGCAATCAGTGACAACCGCCGAGATCAAGTTCTCGAATTCTCAAATCGTGTTCGCAATATATCGGC